GGTACATTGGTGTGCTCTGCCACCCAGTACAAACAGCCCAGCACACAGCCCTCCTTGTTAAATTTCCTTCTGTCACAGCCCCCTGGGGTCTTCATGGCTGAGCTCATCCATGACTCCCCAGACAGATTAGTGCAGGTCTCAGTGCTGTGCCCTGGGGTTTCTGCTGCTTTCACTTTGATTTCCCCTGTGACTCATCCATTTCATGCCACTGAGAGGGATTCACAGTCTGTCTCTCCCCTCATCACTTTTCCCCCTGCTTCTTACAGCAGTGAATTCCTAGGAAAAAAATACCTAGAAATGCTGAGCTGCTGCCCGAGCACTTTTGGCTGTGGTGATTTGGATGCTTCAGCACTCAGGTAGTGTCCTGCCAGCAGCATGGCCCTGAAACCCATCACTCCACTGCAAACTGGTGATGGAGCACAGGAGGGCTGGCCATGCTCTAGGAGGGAGGGCTGGCCTTGTCCTCCCACATTCAGCCCCAGTGAAGCCACTGGAACTCACCCCACTGGTCATGGCAAGCCCAGGGCTTGCAGCAGCAAAGCAGCACTGTGCAGTTGGGCATGAGATCCCCCAAGACTGCATCTTATTGTGAGTTATTCCTCCTGAAGGACTTGGGATCTTTTTTACTATCACTTTGTGGCTCTGTAATGCTTTGCAAGCAGATCTGGATGTGCACCCATTTATTATTAATAATCAGAGTCATCATGTGAAAATACAAAAGCATCCAGAGAGCAGAGGCAGCTGTGCTGCTGAGCAAAGCATTCTGCCAGCACTGGGACTGATCTCACCAGCCCTCCAGGCTGCAGCTCTGCAGCTCTGGCCTGCATTCACAAAATGCCACTTTTCTGATGTGCTTTCCAAATTATTCATTTCAGCCTGTACAACAAACTTCCCAAAGAGCAGCATGTGCTGAATATGTCTTTCAAAATAAGTTTTGGTGAGGTGCTCTTTGGGCATCAGTCACAACCCCGACCCTGAGTGCTCACATTTGGGAAGCAGCAGTTCTGAGGGTTGATCTCATTAACAGAAAAGCTTTTCTCAGGATCATTGATGGGATAGCTCTGCTGGCTGCTGAGGTCTCTGCTGGCACCTGCTGGATACAGGAATCAACACCAGCGCTGAAAGAGAGGCAGCAATGGGGTATTTCAAACTCCTGAGCTCTCCCCGTTCTGGTGATTGATGGCAGCTATTACAGCCCATCTGGCTGTCACTTGTAAATACTGCTAATTGGACTGCTAATTGTTCCCAGCTCCTAAGTTATGCACACAGTGTTTGCTTTGAACAGAGGCCCCATCCACAGATTAGGAAGGGAGTGGAAAATAACTACTTGAGTGAATCTGATGATTAAATCAGCAGGAAAACTACCACTGCATGCAGTTGGAGGAGTACTTTCTAAAATGCTTGTCGTTCATCAAGACAATGTTTTCCTTCTAAGATATAATGCATTAGTTCAGTCAGTGGCATGTTATCATTGCCAAATAGCAAGGTACTCTTGAACTGAGGGTTTCAATATGCTGGAAAGTCAACAAGAGACTAAAGAGCCCAAAGACTCATTTTTAATTTGCCTTTGACTGCAGTTGTCTCCAGTATCCAGGGCTGAACTGGCCTTCAAATCACTTGAACTCCTCTTTCTCCTACGCTGAATATCCTGCACTGAATAATCCTCGTGATTATTGGTTTGCTAAAATATGTCCCAATATCCTTGAGCAAATAAGATTTGTGCAATTTGCTTTGTCCAGGCTCATCTCAAGGGAGGAAAAAGGAAAGAAGCTGGAGGGTTGGAGCCTCAGAGCCCATTTTGTAGTGTCTAAAACATCAGTGTCTTCCTGTCTTCAGAGAAAAGGGCATCTCTGAGTGGGGTGACACCAGCATGGGCACGTGGGAGATGTGGGGGTGATGTCCCATGGTGGCTTGGCCAGGAGCCACCTGCTGCAATGTTTTCTCACCCAAGAACAAGCAGCTGCAACCACAGAGGGCAGAGTTTTCAGAGCTGGAGTAAAACAGTGGCTCAGTCCACTGGTTTCTTGCTCCCAGATGAACACATGGAGCCCCATGGTGAGGTGCAGGGACAGAATTTCTCACCCACTCTGGTGCTGGGTGAGAAGCAGCAACCTTCAGCAGAGCTGGGACACAGCAGCATTTCAAGGACCGTTTTGGCAGGCAGCCTGCAACCTTTGGTTTGGCTTAGTTAAGACCATTTGGGGTTGTTTTTTTAAAATACACTTTTAAAAATGTGGCTGTAGAGACCTATGTACCTGACTTGTTCAACAGTGCTGTGATGTGAGGAGTGGCTGAGGGAGTGTTTAGCCAGGAGAAAAGGAGGTTTGGAAGGAACTTCTCTACAACTATCTGAAGAGAGGTTGTAGCCAGATGGAGTTGGTCTCTTCTCTCAGGTAACAGTAACAGGACCAGATGAAAATGCCTCAAGTTGCAGCAGAAGAGGTTTAAATTGGATATTAGGGAAAATATCTTCACAGAAAATGTTGCCAAACACCGGTACAGGCTGCCCAGGGAAGTGGTAAAGTCACAATCCCTGGAGGCATTTAAAAGACATGTAGGTGTGGCACTTAGGGACATGGGTTAGTGGTGGATTTGGCAGTGCTGGGACTTGATGACCTAAGAGGCCTTTTCCAAGTGAAATGATTCCATGATTCTGTGATGATGAGGAGCACAGGCCAGGCACAGCTTTGAAACACAAGCTGCCTCTCTACTGAAGCTGCAGCAGGTCCATGTCAAAAAGGATCAGGTCAAGAATCTCCCCTTGCTACAGCCCACGTTAGCTTTTCACAGAAATGTGCCAATTTCTGATGCCTGCAAGCCCACAGCCAGCTGCCCTCCTTCAATTCCTCACATGCAAGACTAACATGCACCAGCCTGAGCTTGTTAAAAATATATTGAAACCTGTGTTATAGCAGCTTCACCACCACTTTCCTAGAAAGCTGTGTTATTTCCACTCCCAGTGCAGCTCCTTCAGTCCTGCCATCCCCAATCCCTCCCTTGCCATACCTGACTGCCACAGAGGAGCTTCCCTGGCCTGTGCTGCATCAAATCAGTAGGAAAGGAAACCAGCATGAAAAAGAGGGAATCAGTGCCTGAGTCAGCTGGGGTGGTGGGGACAGAAGGGACAGGGAAGGTGGCCAGAGCCAGGCACTGAGAGGAGCAGCACCACCACCCTTTCCAGGGCTTTCAGCCTTATGCTCTGCATGATCAATTATCCCCCACCAATCTCCTTGTTACCACCACCTGCAGCTACCCAGGTAAGAGTTCAATCCAACCTCATCACTCACAACCACCCCCTTCCATTTACACTTAGCCAGGCATTGCTGTGCCAGGAATTCCTCTCCTGCCCTTCCAACAAGCCACCCATGCTCACTCACTGTCAAACAGCTCCTGTGAAGAGCTGTGGGCTTTCTGCACAGCTTCTTTCTGAAACACAGCAAGGAAACACTGCAAAATCCACTAGCTGCAGGGCAAATTAGCAGTGCTGAGTAGTCAAGGGTCAGATTTTCCCTCATGGGCTTCAGGAGCATCAGAGAAGAAAGTTACAGTAATGCTTACAGCATGGAAACCAGCTGCATTAAAATTTCACAAACAATTAGGTCTCTCTGCTATCATTTATCTGGCAATTTTTTACAGGAGTTCCCGTCCCAAGGCTGGCCTGAGAATGATGCCAGACTGAGACACTTTCATTTCCTGCATAAAAGACAATTTATTTCTTCACTTACAAAATAATGATAGAGCGTTCACTTGCGTCACACAAACAGCTGAAAAATCCAGTAAAACCAAAACACTGTATTTTTAAAGCCTGTACAAGGAAAAATACTGTCTCACACTAAACTCTGGCAAAGACAAACAAAGGCCAAATCTTAATTTCAGATTCAAAATACTAATTTAAGGCTTTGGGCCCTTGAAAAAAAAAGATTACACTGATAAATTCGTTCACATTTATGCTGTGCAATTGCATTTCCATGGTGTTATTTTCCTTTTTTTTTCAACAGCAAACAGCTGGTTTTTAAATATTGTATTCCAATGGATTGCTGCCATCAATACAACAATATCTGTTCTGTGCATATACACATTTTCATATGCTGCAGAGCACACAGAGAACACGTGGTACTGCTTTGCCTCTCCTTTCAGACACTTCTCTCACACAGCTCCTCTAATTATGGTAAAACCCTTGGAGATGAGAGACACTCTGGATGAGCTCAAAAAGAAAACATACATCTTGTGCACACCACAGTTTACGCCCACACCCTTTTCAGTCTGTCTGAGGAACTCATGTTTCTCATATTCATAGTATTTTAAGTTGACCGTACCTGCAAAAAAAGAGAAAAGGCTGCTGAAATTCTGACACCTGAGGTATTACCTTCCTTTCCTTCCCTCCCAGTATCATACATATTCCCTTTCACAATTACTTTTCTTGTTATGCTTCACAGTTTAAATTAAAAAAAAAAACAAAACACATAAACAGATCACTTTTTCAGCCCATCCTACAGTCTGTGACTTTATGACTGTTGGCACTTCCACATATAACGGATAAAAGCAACATTTTCCTGCCATGATGCTGTTTTTCACAGTGTGGTGTTTTCAGAGTGGCTTCCAGCTGCCAGTGCTCAGCTTTCAGTTGCTTTTTTGGCACTGAACAAACAGCTCCCACATTCATTCAGTCAGTGTGGAGTGTCAGCCCCGGAGCTTCACAGTGGCACTTTCTGCAGGTCTGGGGCAAACCCTGTCCTGTTCTCGCAGCTCCTGTCTTGGCTGGCCTCGGTGGCTGTCACCGATGCATCCATCAGGCCTGCTGAAAAGGAAGGGGCATTTCCCTTCCCTGTGGAGCTCTTGCCGCCCGCAGATGGGGTCACCAAAGCAGAGCTCACACAGTGGAGAAGAAACACAGTCCCATCACAGATTCCTGGTAATCCAGCTGCACAGGGCTCCAAGCAGCAGGACTTTGTTCAGGGAGGCACCCGGGGCCAGATGCCTCCATGCCGGCCCCCATCCCTTCAGAGGCTGGTGTCGATGGCGCCTGCTCTGGCCTTCAGGGTGGCCTCAGAGACGGTGTCCGGCTGCCCATCCCGACAGAAGAGCACAGCCGGAGTCTTGCAGGCCCACATGGCCACCTCTGCCCCGCTGGCCGGGCTGGACGAGGACACGGCGCTGCCCGGGGCCCCGCTGTGCCGGTTGATGTAGCGCTCCCGGACCCGCTCAGCCCGGCTCCGCGGCTCCGGCGGGCGGCCCGGCACCGACAGGTAGGCGACCATGTTGTTCCTAGTCCTGTAGCCGCCCTCCCGGCTGCGCCGCAGCAGCACCGAGATGTTTGGGTTACGGGCGGCGTAGATGAGGGGGTTGATGGCGCCGTTGGCCCAGGCCATGCCGCTGGCCACGGCGTCCATGGTGGGCGAGAAGGGCAGGCGGCCGGCGGCGGCGGCCAGCCCCAGGATGCAGTAGGGCCCCCAGCAGCAGATGATGGAGACGATCATGATGAGGACGGTGGTGGCCGTGCGCATCTCCCCGTAGGCGCGCAGCAGGTGCCCGTAGGTGGTGAGCGGCCGCACTCGGCTCTCGGCCAGCCGCACCGCCCGGCAGATGTTGAAGTGGCAGAAGCACATGACGGCGAAGGGGAGCAGGTAGCAGAGCACGATGAGGGCGGCGCCGTAGGGCGGCCCGAGCCGCGAGGAGCCCCAGGGCAGCACGTAGACGCAGCGGTAGGCGCCGGGACGGGCTTCGCGACGCCCCTCGCCCGCCAGCCCGTACCAGGGCCCGGCCAGCGCCAGGGCGGCCAGCCAGACCGCGGCCAGCAGCTGCGCGGCGCGGCGCCGGCCCATCTTGTGCCGCGGCTGGCGGACGATGGCACAGTAGCGGTCGAAGGAGAGCAGGGCCATGGTGAGCGTGGCGGCGATGCCCAGCCCGGCGTGGAGCGCGGCGCTGGCCAGACACAGGCGCTGCCCGAAGAGCCAAGCGCCGGGCGGGCGGCTGAGCAGACTGAGGAAGGCCAGCGGCAGGCAGAGCAGGGCGCCCAGCAGCTCCGACAGGGACAGCGACAGCACGAAGGCGTTGGTGACCGTGCGGAGCTGCCGGTGCCGGGCGATCACCAGCACCACCGCCCCGTTGCCCAGCGCCGAGAGGGCGAAGATGAGCAGCAGCGCGGCCGCTTGCGAGGCCAGCGCCGCCGCCGACCACCCCGCCGCTCCCGCCGCTCCCGCCCCGCCGCTCTCGTTGCCGCCGCCGCCGCCGCCGCGGGAGAGGTTGCCCGGCACGGCCGCCGCCGGCTCCATGCGCAGCCTCATGGCCCGGCCCCGCCGCGGCTGCGGAGGCCCCGCCGCTCCCGGCCCCCCCGGCCGCTGACGTCGCTCGGGCGCCGTTACCCGGGGAACCGGCCCGGCCCGGCCCAGCCGGACCCGGCGGCGGCGGAGCGGAGCCCCTAGAGGCGAGCGGTGGGGCCGGGGGACGGCAGCCCACAGCGGCACCATCCCCTGGGTCCCCACAGATGTGCTCCCCTGGCAGCCCCGGTCAGCGCCTCTCCCCTGGCAGCCCCGGTGAGCTCCTCTCCCGGCACAGCCCCCAGCCCCTCAGGAAGGACCAGCTGCCCCCAGACTCTCAGCTGGAGGCCAGGACCATCACCCCGGCTCACCAGGCTGCGGCTTGAGGGATCATCAGGTGTAAGATTGAGGCATCAGGCCAGGAACCCCCTCCACATGGGCAGCAGGACTCTTTCATCCCACTCTCATCCATGCTCTAGCTGCCTGCCCCTACCTGAAAATTTTCTTAGGGATGGGGGTAGAGAATAGGTAATGAAGGATGCATGCCAGTTAATGCCTGAAGAACCTCCAAACATCCTGTGCTGGGCTTTGTGACTTGCTGTCCCAGCTCTTTCCAAGGAGCCAGGCTGGGGGCCTGATCAGGAGATGCCCAGAAGATGAAAACACATGGAAGAGTTTTCATCATCATGGAAGAGTGTGCTCCTGCAAGCACGGAGGATATGTGTGTCACTTCTTGTTCTCCTGGACCAGAGGCTGTATGGGACTTACAAAGGAGTTACAGGAAAGCTGGGAGCAGGAGCCCCAGACACCATCCTAAAAAACCTCTATTGGCAGCACAGCAGTTGCATAAATCAGGGGATTTTTGTTTCCTCCTGCTACAAAGTTATTTTCAAGCTGACAGAAGAAATTCCTCCCAGGCTTTTCTGTGCCAACCTTATCTAAGTTCACCAGTATGCATCCTTCTGCTGCACAAGCTTCCATGAGATGATTATTCTCATTTTCATGTCTTGTTTTAACAAGTGCCAGTTCCTCCCATGAGTGTCTTCATTTAACAAGCACCATTTTATCCAGAGACACAGTGGAAGTGACAGACTGCCAGAGGTCTGAAGGTCTGCTCCTGCCACTGCAAATGCTTGGTTTTTCCCTGGGGGAACTCTGGCAAAGCAAGCACTGACTGCACTCTGCTGCACAAGCTGCCCCTGGACTGGGACAAAAATCAGTAAATAATTAGCAGTCAAAGGTCGTAATGGCTCAGACTTTCAAACACAGCTGCTCCTGTTGAAAGTTAACCACAGGGTATTTGCAGCCAGTGGTCCAAGATAAGCAAGAGAGAAAGGCTTAGGGAAGCAGCACAGCATGGACACTCAGCAGGAATAAAGGAAATTCTCATCAAATACCTGCATCCAGCCCCAGGATGCAGGAGAGCCCTGGTGGGGTGAAATGAGTGAGGAAGGGGTTGTCTGGACAGGCTGAGCAGGGAAGCTGGGGCATGAGACAGAGCAGCACAGCTGGCTGAGCAGGAGACAACAAGAGCTAGCAATTCAAACCCAGAATCATGACATGCTCAGCAGAATCCTGCAAATTGAGCTCTGGGAGTGAAAACAAGGAAAATGGCAGAGTTTTCAGCTGGCATTTAATAGAAATCTAATTTTGAAATTCATAATTTGCAGACACAGAGAAGGCACGTAAATCTGAAGGCAGCTCTCCAAGATCAGCTCAGTTTTCTGTGAATTATGGGGAAGAAAAAGAAGAAGAAAAATACTACAGCATCTCAGAACAGCTTGTATGTGCTAATCACAGTGCACCCAATATGCTAATCACAACAGGGCAACAAGCCTGTTATCCTGAAATGTGACAAATGCTGTCACACCCTAAGGCTGTTCCTGTTGCAATGTGTGGAGAAGCAAAACAGAAATTCATGGGCAGGAGAAGCCCAGCACCATCAGTGAGGCTCTGCCACCACCCGTGGCTCAGGTCACTTGAGGAAGAAGCCGTGTTTCAGTGGGTCCTCCTCTTCCACAGTGAAGGTGGCTGTGCCAGTGTAAAAGGCTTCTCCTGAGACTTCCACAATGACAGCGTTGTAGTTCCCAAACTTGGCCTCCTGCAGAGGGATCAGGGTGAGCACAGAGGCAACAGAAGGTTCTCCACTCTCCCAACCCCACAGAATTCCAGTGCTACCTGACATTTATGCAGACACCCCTGCCCTGGTGCATCCCAAAGCAGCCACACAACACAACAAGGCCCTAAAATCCTTTAAGTGCCAGGTTTGTGGGAGGGCAAGACCCACAGGCACCTCCCTCCTTCCCTACACTCTTCCCTAGGCACAGAAAGGTTTTTCTGCTTCCCCACTGAGCACATTTCCAGCAGCCCTTGAGAGAGGGGGAAAGTCCAGCACCAGCCACTTGCCTTCACTGCCTTCCCAGTGAACAAGGAGCCCGTGGTGCTGCTCTGGAAGGTTCTGCTCTGGTCCAGCTGGATGAGTCCCTTATGGTACTGCAGGGCAATGCGAGCTGTCACCCCCGAACCTGTTGGACTTCGGTCAACCTACAGCAGAAGGGATGAACCAGTTCTAGATTTTGGGGTTTAATACAAAGTGAGATTGCTCCCCTAGTTCTCTCTGCCACCTTTACACTGCACTCAGGGGAAACCCCCACCCAGTCCAGGGTTTTGTAGAGAATCCAGATACATCACAACTGAGAAGGAAGAAAGAAGCAGGTTTGGGGTACTTCTGGACTGTGGTGGGCTTTGGCACAGTTAGGGATGGATGATCTAATAAACTGAGGCTATTTAGGAGCAGTTGAAATCTTCCCAGCATCATCTCAAAAGGACTCAGAGGGGCTGAGGTCACCTGCTCCATTCTCACACCTCAAGGCAAGATTGGTTCTCCTTACACTGAGGGGGCTCCTGGCCAGCCTGGTTTTTAAAATCTCCAAAACCACAGTGTTGGCCAGCTTCTGAGGTGACCTGCCCCAGTGCTCCACACTCCTCACTGCTGGCAAGTCCAACCAAAACTTCCCCTGCCATTTATGTGATACCTCATGCACTGCAGAAAAGGACAGAATTTTAACACCCCATTTCTTTCCTGTTGTTAATCCCCAGCAGATGTTCCCTGGATTAGGACTTTAGGGACAAATACTGTGCTGGGATCCTGTCTCAGCTCCTGAACTCCTGGAAAATTTCAATCAACAAGTTTTGGGTATGAAGCTTTTTAAAATGCCACCATCTAAGTTGTGCAGAAGTATTTCTTCTATTAGGAACAAAACTAGAATGTGTGCATCGACACTCAGCTCTCCAGGGACACGACAGCAGCACAAGCAATCACTGCCCAAACTAAGAACCAAAACAGTCTATGTTCTTTGCAGTGGATCTAAGGGACAAAGGGACAATTGTGGTGTCTCTTGTGCCTGAGAAGAGCTCATTTCTGTACCTGTTCATCTGCAAACACACAGATGTTGGTGGTGGGCTCCTCACTAAAGGCATCTTTCCCGTCTGTCAGTATGGTGCCGTAGAGGAAAGCCAGGTCTTCACTCTCAGGGTGATGAAGCTTGAACTGGAAACAGCACAGAGAGGGTCACAAATACACGCAACAGCAGCAATGCATGCAGTACAGCTTCTGTGGGACACCAGAGGAATGGGACAAAGCCACATGGCTGCGTTTCCACCTCTGCTTCACAAGTAACAGAGAGAAGCAGGAAGGCTCCTTCTCCCATCCTTGTAAGGACTCTGCAATTCAGCATGGGGCTGGAAGGATGGGACTCTCCCACTATCCTGAGTTCCAAAGGGAACATGCTGGGATACCACAGTGCTCATCCATACCTGTTTCTTCACTGCTTCTGTCACTGCACTTGCTGCACTGACAAGGTCTCTGGTCTTTGAAGAGCGCACATCAAGGCCCAGCTGCTCGGCGCTGAGGAAGGCGTAGAAAGTGCCACCATAGCCGATGTCAACCACCACCTTCCCATGGCCAGGGACATCAATGGCCAAGTCTGAGCAGAGAAAGGGAGGAAGGTGAGGAGGCAAAACTGCCGAGCCATGGGCTTGCATAGAGTGAAGGAACACAGCCACATGCGAGGGCAGTGGATGGGGATGATAACTTGAGTACTCCTGTGGCATCTCACAGCATCCCTGATGACCACTGAAGAACAGTGGGACTAGGCAGACAATTGCCAGACGCTCCTCAACCAGGCCACAAGCCCCCAACGCCGGCACGGCCACCACCAACCCTCCCCGAACACCCAGCGGTCCCCACCGGTGGCGGCAGCGAAGGCGGGCACGCTGTGGAAGCGCACGGGGTTCCCGCTGCGGCGGCCGTCCCAGGGCACGAAGGCGGTGACGGGCCCGCAGGGGCAGCGCAGGCGGACGGCGGTCTCGGGGCAGGTGGGCGCCGCTACCAGCCCGTAGTCGAGGGCGAAGCGGCCGAGGGCCATGACGGCGTGGCCGCACATGGCGCTGTAGCCGGCGCAGTGCAGGAACAGCGCCGCCAGGTGCGCGCCCTCCGCGGCCGCCCCGCCGCGCACCACCACGGCCCCGTACATGCCGGCGTGGCCGCGCGGCTCGTGCATCAGCGCCCGCCGCACGTGGTCGTGCCTGGCCGCCACCTCCCGCCGCAGCGACAGCAGCGACAGCCCCGCCGCCGCCGCCCGCTCCGCCGCCTCCAGCCGCGGGATGATGCGCAGCGGCTCGCCGCCCGTGTGCATCTCCACCGTCTGCAGCACCGCGCCCGAGGGCGAGTGCGGCGGCAGCGCCCGTCCCGCTCCGCCACCGACACCGTCACTGTCACCGCCGCCCCGTGCCGCCATCGCGCCGCCGCACCCCGAGGGACCACGCCCACAAAACGGAGACCACGCCCACTCGGGCTTCCCCAGCCTGAGGCCGCGCCCACCTCCCCACCCATTGAAGTCCCGCCTCATGACCACGCCCATTCAGTGACCACGCCCCGACCGGGTCACGCCCCTTGGAGTCCCCGCCCCTTCGCGTTCCCGGCCGCATTCCCGGGCGGAGCCGACCCGTGGCGGAAGCGGAAGTGC